GTTAATGTTTTTCTTAAAAATAAAATGTTTAACTTTTACTAACTGGGCCTGCAGGGGACAGTATATAGGCTAATATAAATATTCACTAAGGTTTAGGTAGAAGTGTTTATTTATTTTTATTTTTTTTTGTCTGTTCAAGATACATTTTGAAAAGTTGTGTTTTTTCATCCTATACAGAACATCTTAAATCCACTGGGAAGTTTACAGGAAGCTTGAGACTTCCGAACAAAAGCATACCCATTTCACCATTCACTTGATTCTGAATGGCAGATGTGTGCAGACACTATCACAGTCAATGCACTGATAAAACAACACAGACACTACGAACAGAGGAGGAACATGAGAACAGATGCTTTTGATTGATTGCACATTTCTTTGGGGGATTCAAGCCTTCCGCTGCATCATATTCCGAGATCACATACTGGATGGAGAGTGGTATTTTTACTCTTTTTCATAGCTATAAAATTCCTTGCAATTGTATGCAAATAGAGTGCTCTGAAACGAGTCGTGTTGTGTAGAAAACATCATGGTTGCAGAACAATTGCAACAGCGAGTCTGTTGAAAAGACTAAATTACACCCCCTGATGTTTTATTCATTTCAAAGCTGGCCAAAAGAGCTTATGCTCTGCGGCCTGGAAATGTCCTCTCCCTCAGCAAAACAACATTTGGAGCTGGTGTCAGCGGCCTCACTTACCCAGAATAAAAAACTGAAGAAGAATAAGTAGTACAGAATCCAAGGGTTGACGAAAGAGAACATTTCAGTCGTGGTGAGGCTCACCTGCCTGTCCATTATAACAGATTTTTAGAAGCTGAAGATTAAAAAAACCAGCAATGGCAAAGCAGACCAGGCCAGACAGATAAGCCATCCACCATGTACGTTTCAGTCCACACCTATAGCCTGAAATAGACTTCAACAGCTGTCGTAAATGTGGACTGACGCGCCACATACATTAGAGTCTGTGGAAATGTCCAGAGCGCCATGATACACAAAAGCCACCTTTGGATGCTTTGAAAGCTCCGTTCCATTGTTTTCTATCACCGGTACGGCCAGGGCAAGAATTTGCAGTTAGGCAAAACAAACAAGGCTTTTTGGGTGTACTAGTTTCGACAGTATTCTCCTCTATCTCAATATGAGAAGATATAGCAGCGGGTGATAATAGACAGACACATTGGGAAGAAAAAGAGACTCTGAGACTTCAGTGAATCAGACTGTCACCTGCCTGCTTTTCGGTTCAAAGTAATGATTTTATTAGCAGGGCTGCTGTGAGACTCTTGGTAGATCAAGCACTGTGAAACCAGGGCAGGCAGCACAAGCGCTCCTTTACTGCTGGAAAGCCATTCTAAATATGAATGACCCATCATGAAACCGCAGGGTTCTGCTGGTCGTCTGACTGCCTTTTCCCACCGGTAGCTCTGCTGTTTCTCTGGACTGCATCTGTAAACCTCTTTGAATCCTTTATTCACGAGAGCCGAAGGACAATCCATTGGATTGTTGAGAGTCGTTCTCACAGGTTTATTGCTAAAGGATTTTCTTTGAAAGCTTGGAGACAGTGTACCAGTGTACTTCATGAGATCCAAGACATTGGTTTGTTTGTTTCCGCCCTCATCCACAAATACACTGGGTGTGTGCAATATGGATCCAGTATAGTCTATCATAATACTCGTATTACCATACTCAGACGCTACTCAGTAGCTTTCAAAATATATTGTAGCTATAAGAGTATTGATCCGGCCAAGAACAGCATTGTTCTGCAATGTCTAGTGATTTCATTATATAGGACTGATACAATGCTTTCTGCATTAAAGCAGTGCTTCCCATAGTTGGTTTTAAGAAGACAGATTATTTTGATCTTTAGCGAAAGCGAATTATTTTTATTATGGCTAATAGTTTTTTTATATATTATTTATGATATATTTTAATCAATATTATACCATCTTGACAACAACATAATCATATTTGTCAGTGGTTTTACTGTTTACTGTTACTTTTAATTGGGAGATACACCACGGCGTATTGCATCCAGAGGGATATTAAACTCCTAATCATATACAAATTGTGTTATTTTGCATATCAATTTGAAATGGAGTTGTCGGAAATACTGGTTAACTTGGGATAGTTTATTTATTTATATATTTTGTGAAAATTTCTCATTTTTGACACCCTGAGATGTTGTAGAACATCTGTATTTGCATCCAAAATTTTATGATGTTCTTTCATGGTTAAAATAAATAATAAAAAAAATATGTAAGGTTTTTAATAACCCTCTAAAATTTACATGTATACTTTTGGCAGATTGAGGAAATGTACATGTGTATATTTCAAGCTTGATCATTTTGCTGGGCCCATGATCTTGGTTTTGCTAGCACTATGCTTCATAAAAGCACACAAAAAAATGAAATAAAAAGATCATTAAAAACAAGAAAATAAATGTTAAAATAAAGTAATTTTTGTTGAAAAAGAAAGGTTTAAAAGAATATAGTTTTATATATAGTTTATAGATTTGTTCTCGTTGTAATGTGTGAGAATTATTAAGGTTTACTGTTTTTACCTGAATTATTATTAATTTATTTTCATAGTGTGATATTTGGTGAATTGTAGTGTGAAATGTATGTAATACGAATATAGTCAATTTGACCAGCAACATAAAACTCAAACCCAAAATTCAAAGAGAGCACAAGGGTTAAATACAATTTTATAGTGTGATCTTAAATGAAATGAGATGATGATGAAATGCCAGCTCCATTGTAAAATTCTGATACAATTTTCAAGTCCATATAAAGCGTGTATAAAAATGAAAAAGGCAAATAAATAAGTTCTCACAGTGGTTTGGCAACACACTTTCCTTTATTTAAAAAATAGTAGGATTTAAAGAATGCAATTTAGTGCACCACCTAATGTATTTATAGTGCTTTACATGTAGCAAAATACTCCACAGAACAAATCTGGGTTCACAAGATATCTGATAGCTGCCACTCACCAGGACACTACATTAAACACGTCACTCGAGCGCATACGTCTCTACAGCTTGTATATGCAGCTTACTGGTGGTTAGGATGGCAGTACAAAAATACAGATATGACAGCGATTATAGAACTCACTTACTTTTTAGAAACCTTTTTTTACCCCAAGCATACCAAATTAATAGATCATTTTATGGCAGTGTCTGTTAATGGGAGGGAAAAAAATCAATAATTCAATTAGTTGCGCTGTGGTCATTCAGATCAATAAAAAGCTTTCTTGTCCCTGCAAAAGTATCAAAATTCAGTACCAACAAATGCCAACATTTCATTCAGATCTACAACTTAAGTTCTTTTAATTAAGTACAAAAACAAAATGAAAATTAGTTGCAATGACTTGAAAAAATATCCCAAAATATACAATCAGATGGCATGGGTGTGCAAGCTTTTAGAGGTTCTGGAGATATGAATTTTTCTGGGCCATCTCCAATATAATAGAAATATAGAGACCTTGCCTTTCCTTTCTGATAATGGGCAATTCCTTAGTATTGGGCAATTAATTAATAATGAACTTCTACTTTATAATTGCTAGGAACTATAATGTGAATTTGCATGTGCTGTATCTACAGATGAAAACCCAACATTAATTCTAGACTGAGATTAGGAAAGGCAAAAACATTTAGAAAATAAAGGTTTATTATGCAAAATCTGATCAATATATGCTTAGCAAACCCTTAAAATCAATACGTGACAAAATGTATGATACAAAACTGAACAATGTACAAAAAAGAACAACTAAAAAAAAATGACATTACAACTTTTTTGCTGGAGTATCAAGCACTGAGATTCTCTTGCAACTTTAGATATTTGACAGGCATATTTAGACAATTAGCAATATCTTTGTTGCATATTAAACAAATATGCCCCAGATGTTTATGAGATGACCCATAGTGAAATGTTTACGTGCATTAAGCTTGACACAAATGCATTGCAAAAAAAAAAAAATGGTAAAATGACTAATGCCAAACTGTTGTTGGTTGTTCAACATGACACTGTGTCCTTCAACACTAACTCCTCAACATCTGACACTTTCAGATTTAGATACACAATATAGTCTATAACAGTGGACAAATATAATGGAAAACTGGGTATTGTATATACATGGGTATATACTTTTTGAAAAGGAGGAATAACAGTGAGAGATGGATTTTCAAAAAATGAAAAACATTGGAACAAGGACCAAAAATCTTTCCAAACTCTTAAACCCTGGAAAGCTTACACATGGGATTAGTTCACAGGATGCAATCTTGCGGCCAAAGTTTGTAAATCAGTCAGATAAGAGGGTTGGGAACGTCATTGAAGTTCAGTGCGGTGGGGTTAGAGACAGTACACTGAGCAGATGGAACACATCCGTGCAAACCTAATCAGAGCTAGTATTGATTAACTCCACGGTGTTCTTGAAGCAAAAATGGGTTTGAAGCCAGACCACCAGGTGTAACACACACACACAAACGTTTTCATTTATGATGGAAATATGGAGACAGGCTTGCATATTAGAAAATTAGCTTGCATTGTTTTTGTTTGTTAGCGATGGTGAACATGCAGAATTGATTGAAAAATTCTGTAGATTTCAGGCCTCCTGTCCTGATACAAATGCCACATTAACAACAAATCCCTTAAAGCCAACATGAAACACTCTTGACAACCCATTTTACGTCTGTAATGTGACATTTATGAGTAAAATGTTCATGGTTTAAAACAAATGTAGGTTGGGACAGGATGGAGCTAAACTTGTCCTCTCTCTCGATGGAACCCAACAGTAATGCACATTTTCAAATCTATAATTATTTGTAACATTTAGTAGTTAACCAACATTAAATGAACACTTTTACTATTGGTAAAATGTAAGAATGACTGCATAACCTATTGTAGTAAGCTAAATTGGGGTCGTAATCATTTAATAATATATAATACATGTGTATATATGTAAATAAAAAATATAAATAACAGAACGAATTAATTACAAATGTAATAATATATTTAGTTTTACTAATTTTAGTTTTAGTAAGAACGGGAAAAACAAATAAGGTCAAAAAGTAAACGGGGTCAATTTTGGCTTCATGTTGACTTTAAATGCTTGCAGGCAGAGTGTGAGTTAATAGAGTCTGCAGTCTCTCGGTCTTTTACTTTTTCCACTATCGTAATAACCACAGGTGGCTCTTATAGCAGCAGGCTTCAGTGACAGCGTTCCTACACTCATCCAGAGCAGAAGCACTCTTTCCCCTCCATTTCAACACAGGATGAACGTTAGAAGTAGCTGTCGCTTCTGGTCCCAACTGTTTCTTAATATAAAGCAATTTTTCTAAAATACAGTCAACAAAGATTGTGTCAGTGAGTGTTTGATGGGATGAGAGGTGTTATTATTTTTCTCGAGTGCTCTATTATGTCCCTCTCAGTCACACATAAACAACGCGCACACGCCGAGCTCTTAAGGGACGGCAAGTAGTCTCAGTGACAGTCTGGATTGGAGACCATCAGATGACCCCACTCTGGCTGACTCTCATCCATCATCACGCCCCATCTATTGCTCAGTGATTTTAAACCCCTAAAAACTATCTGCTGGTGAACATACTTTCACTTCAAAACTTCCTCGTCAAGATGCATTTCCTTTGAACCAAGTCCCTCTAGGCTGTGTGATACAGAAGCATTATCACCTCATTCAGCAGGAATGTAACCGTTACAGCCTAATGCTTGAAACTAAAAGACAGATGGAGACAGAAAAACAGCACAGGCTATAGCGCTGAGGTGTGCCGAAACAGAAACACTGCAGATGCTCTTTCTTAAGATGAATTATGGCTGGTGGATTATCGTCTACTATAACTAACACTATGACTCTGCTTGGTTCTGCTCTGCTGTATACTGTATGCGATTTAACTTTAATACTTGACATATCTTGCAGTGAAGCAGTACTGACAATTTTCACAGTTCTGTTGGGTTGGCATTAGTGCTAGATTCCCTGCTAAGGATACTTTAAAGAAATAGTTCCGTCAAAAAGAACATTTCTGTCACATCATGTCACACTGTCCCCTGTGATTTTCTTCCGTAGGACACAAAAGGACAACAGACCACCAATTTAAGTCATTATCTGTCCCACATGTAATATGTGCCCACAGAACTTGTCAGAAAGGTCAGAACATGCTGCAGAATTAGAACGCCCATCAATCACAAAGTTCGATAAATGAGCTGGTGGAGGGTTGCATGTTCTGAAGCAAGTAAGGACGTTTTGAAGTGAAGAAAACTGCAGAAAACTTGAAATATAATGTAGAGCACCAATCTAAATCATATGCCTTGTTATTACACTATTCTCCCCCTCCTTTAAAAGTTTGAAAGCATCAGGTCTGCTTCTAACTATTTCCTTGGAAGAAAGTGCTACAGATTTGACATGAAAGTGAGTAAATTAATTTTCCAAAAACATAAACGTTACTGTCCTGGGGAGATGTGCAAACACGAACTAGGTGGAATCTGTATCATTAGGCTCTTGTCTTGGCATTTTTTAGGCTACAGACTTGGATTCAATGAACGAAACGTGGGGAAATGGTCAAACTCACAAAACTCTGCCTTTTATACATGCCTGGTTTACTTACTTTTGTAACCTTCCACCATTTTCTTCTAGAAAAACTTTATTTAATTGTCTATGCTACAGCGTTTCAGTAGCAGTTTGGTTAAAATGACCTTTTAGTGGTTAACAAAGGATGTTTTTGCATGTATGTGGACGGCTGGCTAATTAGACCGTCTGTATAAGGTAAAACAGTCCCTGTTTGATGAATTATACTGACATTAGATTGTGATGGTTCTCGTCAGAATGAAACTTTCAGCACATTTTGATGCGTCCACAAATCACAAACCTTTAAACATAAGAAAAGGCTTGATTACCAACACACTCAGACAAACTCAAATTCCTGGACATACCTTGCTAAACTCTTTGTACAGGCTTCTTCCAATCCTTAGGTGCACAAAAATGACAATTATGGGGTTGGGGCAAAGTCACATATAAAAACAAACAAACCAAAAAGTCTTGAGCCAAAGTGACAGTTTTCTGTCTTGTACAAAACCGCATCATGCTAAAATGGAGCTGTTTGTCATTTACACTGCAGATGGAGGTGCTGCTTTTCAAATTCATCCCACCCTGAAGGTTTTCAGTCTGATGTCTTCTCGTCATTCTGTACGTTGGGTGGAAGGATTTACGTATTAGTAAAGCCACACAGTTTGTTGTCATTATTCTCCTTCCTGCAAACGTTAGTTAGTTCAAGCGTAAAAATAAAGGTTCTAGAGGAGATGAAGCAAGTCAGAGGCCTCACGGGGAGGATGCTGGCCAAGAGTCGGTCCTCTCGTTCCTCTCTGTCCCCGGGTCTCTTTGGCAGATGAGCAGATGGGGGAAAAGAGTGGAGAAGAGAAAGACCATGACTGAAGTCTATACAGGATGGTAAGGTATACGCTGGGGAATTAATGGGAAGAGGGGTTGGCCAGTGGGGAAAGTTAGATACAAGAGGAGGAGCTGTCCTCCAGAGTCTGTCCCATAATGCACCAGGGCTCCTCCCTTGAGAAACGGCCTTGTTAAGCATCATACTTCTTCCCGCTTCTGTGGATCTGATGGAACAGTGTCATGGAAAAGGCCATTCCTAGGAGCTGGAATGACAAAATCCAAATGTACGAGTTAGTGTGAAACACATAAGCTATATGGCAGCAAACACAGATGGCCTGGGTTAATGGAGACAAAACATTGGACATATTCCTAATAAAACACTAGGAAATTCAAGGGGTCATGGGTTGGTCAGTTGGCATATGCCTTTATCACCTGCTGGTAAATGATGTGGACTAGACCACGATGAGACCTGCTGCCAAAAAGCAGCTTTCTTCATTGATGGGAATGCAAATATGGAAAAATTCATAAATGCATTTAATTATTAATTTTTTTTTATTATTTAATGCATTAGATATTGTGATGTAACAATAAACAGAATTTTTATACAGATCCTTTTTTAAAATTTTATTATCACGTGCCAGATCAAGCAGCACATGAACCGCTCATTTCTTCCTCTTTACTAGTAATAGCACGAAATAAACATGAATGAACACCAGAAGGTATCTTGTTTCAAACGTGGAAAGATGTCAATACACACCATTTTTCAAGTTCAAGTCCACCAACGTTAATCTACTCTCCTGTCTGTTTTGTTTGTCGGACAAAAATGGCAATTCATGTTTGTTCATAATTGATTAGCATTATTTGTGAATTAATTTATACTACTTGAACAGTAAAAAAAAATGAGTTTATGTAAAAATTAACATTAAGCAAGATTCATAAATGCTGTAAAACATTGTCCGTCATGATACCTAATGCATTAAATAGTGTTAACAAATTTAACAGTAACGTAAACTGATATTTTTTTTAAAAGCAATGCATAAGTCACAGTTATTTTGAATGTAGATGTTTTTCCATTTGCCATTTTTTTTTTTATTATAATAGATTTTTTTTTTAGCCATTGGCCAGTTTATTTGAAGGGTTGTTTTTGTCATTTTCTACTGTTCAGTTGATTTAGTTCAGCACGTAAAGGTGGCAGCAATCAGGTCACGTACTTCTAAGGCTGCACGCATCAGCCAAGCAGCTGCCAATGGATAGCTTTCTCCAGGTATTGCAGACCTTCTTTGGAAAATTGACCTCATTTTGTAGAAAAAGAGGGTTGGTGATGTGAAGCATAGTCACGGAGGTAAACGGAAATGTGTTGCAAATATACTGACTCTTTGAAGTTCATTTTTAGAGCCATCCTGCTACATCAAACGCACAGCGGTGGTCGACATTCCACAGTCAAGTTTTTATCACATGAGCAGGAAGCACCATCAGACTTCTTGTGTGGATTAAATCATATTCTCTCACATCTTTGAGCTTTAATGGTATCGCATTGCTTCTTCTTTACACTGACAATTCGCACAGAAATTGAACTGTAAATCTTGGCAGACTCTCACACAGACTTTAATGTGAGTCTAGTGGTGAAGTCTAGGCCCCTAGCAATGTCTGAAAACTACAGGTCGAAACCCGTAGGGAAAAGAATCCTTTCAGAATCCATGAGTTCTTAGGAGAAAGAACTACAGCACAATAACATACAATAGTATTATAAAGATTTCGAGATGGACCTCACTGCAGAACACAAGATCCAGGGGGCACAAGATCCAACTCCTCCCACCTTACATATACCTAAACCTACCAGTCTCCACCCCCTGATCCCTAAACCCACCCATCTCCACCCCCTAGATGTGGATCCAACCACGCCCCCTGGATCTTGTGTTCTGCAGTGAGGGGCTTCTGAAGATTTCTGGACCTTGTAACATGGTTATACTGTGGTATTTTACACCATGCACACTACCATTCAAAACTTTGGGGGTTGTAATTTTTTTTTTTTATGTTTTAAAAAGAAGTCAGGTAATAACCAAGGCTGCATTTACCTGATCAAATTACAGTAAAAATAGTAATATTGTGAAATACTGTTACCATTTAAAATAACTTTTCTATTTTAATATATTTTAAAATGCCATGATGGCAAAGCTGAACTTTCATTAGCTGTTACCGCCAGTCTTTGTTATGCCCCTTCAAAAATCATTCAAAATATACTGATTTGGTGGTCAAGAATCATTTCATATTACTATCAATGTTAAATACAGCTGTGCTGATTAAGATTTTGTAGAAACCTTGATTTATTTTTGAATAGAAAGTAAAATAGAAACAGCATTTATTTGAAAACAGATGCTTTTTTTAACATTATAAATGCCTTTACTGTTACTTTTGATTAATTTAATGTGCCCTTGCCTAAAAAACAAAAAACAACAACTTTTGAATCATATTTTCATTCATGGAATATGAATGCTAATCTAAAATTACAATGGAATATATCAAAGTACCATGGTACTTAGAGGTTTGTTCAAATCCCTAAGTATTGCATTATCAGACCCCACTAATAATTTAAAATGACAAAGCACTTACAGAGCACACAGTTTAGTGACTAAAAACCAGATTATGGCTGGCTTTTACTGGATGAGATGCAAGTAAATCACTTGTGATTTTGCTCCAGCTCAGCCCGTGAGGAGGATTATATGGCAAGTGCTTACAAGCCTGCGGTCACCTCTTGGTCCATACCGAGAAAAGTACTTAGTAAAGACCCCTGTGCACTATTATCCTAAATAAACTGCACTGACCACAGGCTTACAAGAACTCATAGATTAATCGAGAGTCCATTTCGGCTAATCCATCATGGGCTTTTTTCACTATTTACCACAATTCGTATTTCTGCTCTGTGATAAACGACAGTAAACCTGATTTGGATTTAGACTACCTGTGAAACTGTTAAGAGATACTCTCAAATCCAGTTTGTTAACTTTAAAAGTGACAAAGTAGCAAACATGACAAAATATATAGTCAAACTACTATTGAAACATGGACTATATTTAACATGTCTCTGCCTAGTTTCTAGAAAAAAAAATCTGTCTAACATTGATGCGAAGCACCTCCGCAGAATGTACACATTAGACCAGACTGCATTGATAATCAAATACATTGAATCCATTGGTTTTCTAGGGCTATAACGACCTGCTGCAAGACAGGTTCACTTTCTATATATTTGGGTATCAGCAAGCCCTAATGAGCGGTTCACTTTTTCTCTCCTGGGCTGACTGTGGCGCTCCACACATGTGCTTCACTGTTTCAGCAGAACCAGACGAGACAGGCACACTCATTATCACCACTGCATTTGATACGCTGAGTGATGGCAAAACACACCAGTACACACAATCTTACCTGAACTACCAAGATACACATGCCGATGGTTCCGAGTAGGTGCTTATTATCGTCAAGCCACTCTTCGACCTTCTCGTAACATCCCTGGAAGACAGGAAAAGTCACAAGATGTGATTTATCTTCACTAATACAAACAGACTGTGTATGTTTCACTTCTAATTTGCTAGAAGTTCATTCTGATCCAGGGAAAATTAGCTGAAGTCCAGCAGCAGTGGAATTGGTTTTGAGCACATGCTTGAGCGAGCGAGCGACTGCTGTGGCTGCATTTTCAACGCGCACTGACTGTAAAAAAAGCACATTCAGCGATATACTGTTTGTGGTTATGCGGGGGAAAAAAAAGAAAACAGTGGGCTGCTTTTCACACTAAGGTATTGAAAAGGAAATCCATTTCCAGCAAAACCGAAAACTGGCGGTAATATAATTCCAAAACACCTTCCAAAACGGCAAAAGTCTTCTGTGCAAATAGCCTCATCTCAAATTTTTTGACTAATACCTCTTGTTCTGTAATTTCAAAGCAATTTAAGACCTTTTGTTGGATAGCTGCTTAACTTCTGGGGGAAAAGATAAATTCAACAATTCAACGGCTTTTGGTTTTTAGACTAACTTGACTACGAATGCGTCCTTGTGTAATTCCCTTACCTAGAAGACTACACAAAGGTTTCTGCAAAGGAAATCGTGAAATTTATTCGAAAGTTTCTCTCGTGGCAGCTTCATATACTTCAAGTATGCTTTAATGAAAGATGCTTTTGAAAAGAACATTGAGAATTCACTAAATGGAAATGTCTCATCCGCAAACACTCCATTAGTACCTCTGTGGTAACTAAAAGCTTCAGATAAAGACAGTGTGACAGTTTGACTTGTAACAGCTGCTGATGTACAGCTCTGTCAATGGCACACAAAATTCCCTCAAGAGACCATTGCCCTCTCTACAATCTCATTTAAACATTCAGTGCATTAAAATGAGTTTTCATAAGTTAAATCAGCTCCCATAGGGAAGACAAACGCATCCGGTGTCCAAAAGTGAGCAGAAATACATCTATGGCTTTTACTGCCTTTCACTTAATAATAACTCTTTTCAAGGACAGAAAAGATAAAGAAAAAAGAAATCCTCTCGGTTATTACCTCCTGTCTTTTTTTTGATCCTGTCTCGAACCAGAAATGTTCTTTAATGAATATAAGAGCAACAGTTCAAATGTATTAAAAATGGGGATGATTAAACTGAAAGTCGTGCATTTGAAATGCAGTACATATATAGTTCACTGCACACGTCACGGCGATTAAAGGTCTGGGGAATTATGGCAACATTATCATCATTGGTTGAAGTGCAGGTGTCCACTCACCCGTGTCCAGAACATGTTGGTGGAGTTGCGGCCACACTCCTGATAATGCTCTTGACAGCAGCGGTCGGGCACCACCTTTTCTTTCAGAGCCTCGTGCCAATCTGTGTAACCAGTTACGCCACAACACTTCCACTGTCATGCAGAGGGACAATGATACTTTTTACTTTATGATGATATTATTATTTTAATATTAACCACACTAGCTTAAGTTCCAGGTATTAGTGTGTGAAAGTATTTTCATGATTTTCAACATATTCATAATTTCACAAAGAGTACCTCGGCTTGGATGATATTCCAGGCATTTCTCAGCCCAATGTTGTTGTCTGTATTGTAGAGAGCAAGACCATCTTTCAGGTCCTGCTTTGCATTCTCACTGACCTGTGAAGGACGATAAGTTTATTCATAGACAATAACAAACAATCTTTGGGAATACCACAATTTCAACCACACCACCAAAACTAAATTTTGATAATTTGACAAATAGATTTGACAATCTAATTTAGGTATGCACCGATACCGATACTGGTATAGGTATCGGGCCCAATACTGAGCTCCTGTACTCGTACTCGTTAAAATGCCCCAATACCAAATGCCGATACCACACAGCATGTGATAAGTGCCATATTCAGACAAAGAAACAGACAACAGAACAACAGACAGCAGAATGGAGTTATTAGAGATTAAGGATGTCTACGAAATATATGTATGCAATGAATATAATGTTAAACATTCAGTATTAACGCCTGTATAGCTGATGTGCGCGAGCTGATAAGCAAAGCACGCTGAGTGGATTGAGCGCGCGGCGGCGCAAATGCGCCAGCTTGTCGAGTGGATATACCTTTCTCACAGACATCACTGGAAAGCTTGTAGTTCGGTCAGATATGTCAAAAACAAGTAAGTAAAACAATGCACAAGTTACTTAACGGGCCCTCTCATTCTGCACCAGTACAAATACGTGCACGCGTTGCACGTTTTGCTTGCTTCAGTGTTTCTGCATTATATGAGTGGCTTTGGAACATAAATTGCAGCATGTTTCAGACGAAAAAAAACGCGACTTCTATTTCTGAAAATATCACAGTTAGGAGATTTATAATGAGTGGTTCCCTGTATCGGTACTCGGTATTGGCAAGTACCAAAAATAAAAGTATCGTATTGGGCGAGCACTGGAAAAAGTGGTATCGGTGCATCCCTAATTTAATTTAAAAAAAAGCTTCATAAATGTGCAAGTCAACATAACTTCTTGGTTTTATATATATATATACATGAAGAGTTCATTTGCAAAAACCGATAAACGCCACTTAAAAAAAAAAATGAGCTGATTGCCGTGTATTATTCTCCACATATAGCGCGATCTGAACCCAAAACATGTTTTGTCAAAAAAGCCAGTTTTGTCCACTTTCAAGGCATCACGAGTTCACGTT